TCTTGTACGCTGAGAAAATGTAGGCAGAACGGATAGTAGCACGTTAGTGAGACAGAGAAAGCGATACCTCTCTTTATGGCAATGGCCTTTATCGCACAGGCTGGTGTTCACTCGAAACAAAAAAGCGCTCGTTCTAGTAAGTATATAGTTCAATGGGTACACGTATGTTGTCCCTCGTCGGCAACGGTATACGTGTGTGAAACAACCGAAGGCGTCATACGCATTCACACAAACGCGTATTTGACGTGTCGCTTGAAGCGAAGAGCACAGCAAGCAGCAAGGGGAATAGTAGTGGAGGATATTTTCATCTTGCATCCTTAACGCAAATCGGACGATCGAGAGAGAAAGTATTACAAAACGTGGGGTGCGTTCGGGCAGCTCGCTACCGCGCTATCAACGCTAACGCTACTAGCTCCGTTCACGGAGCCAAGATAGCGCTAATAAATGCGAGCTCCGTGAACAGCAATAGCATAGCGTGGTAGCGTGCGTCTGCTAATAAAAATGGAACAAGATCGTAAAAAAGCAATATTAACAGCAGTAGCACTTATAATACAAGAATTAATAGATTCATCGTCTAACAGTGATGATGGTAAAGATTTAAAAATAATAGAATAGAGTATGAATGTAAGAAAACATGTACCATGTATCAACATTAAAAATTAAAATATCGGCATTTCTCACATTTTCCGTAGAATTATTAGATGAATGTTTGTAATAAAATTAGGTGTTATTATTTTCAACACGTTAAATGCTGGACAAAAGATCCAGTCCAATTATAAATCTTTTGTCCAATATTAAACTAGTTGGAAATAATAGCACCTAATTTTGTTACAAACATTCATCTGATAATTCTAACGGAAAATGTGAGAAATGCCGATATTTTAATTTTTAATGTTGAGACATGGTACATGTTTTCTTACATTTATACTCTATTCTATAATTTTTCATCCTTCACCATCATCACTCTCAGACGATGAATCTATTAATTCTTGCATTATAAGTGCTACTGCTGTTAATATTGCTTTTTTACGATCTTGTTCCATTTTTATTAGCAGAAGCGCGCTACCACGCTATGCTATTGCTGTTCACGGAGCTCGCAAACGCTAACGCTACCAACACACTGCCTCGGAAGGAATAGCGTTGATAGCGCGCAGTTATGACGTATCACACTACTATTAATGACGTCATAATTGCGTTTGGTAGCACTACCAGCTAGCTCCGTGAACAGTCGATAGCGCTAAATAGCGCTAATAGCGTCTCCCCGAACGCACCCGTGATGTCAAGTTAGTGGTGTCTCTATAGCTGTCTTCCTCATGCGACCGTCTAATGAAGGAAGTGCGAGCAAGACAGTTAGGGCAGCTCGGTGTCCCTATCGATGTCTCGTTCGCTCTAACACCTAGGTGTCATGCTTTTCTTTCTTTCCTTTAAGAAACGTAGCTGAGCCGCGCGCACCGATCGCCGGCATTCATTCTATTAAATATTATATCATATAAAGAGGCTTAATTTAATGAAAAATAGAAATTTGTATTGAAATGTTCAATTATACGAATATAAGAATTGTTTGCTTTAAGTACCATTATATTTTATGTACTATATTATTTTATGAAAATTGTGAAGTTCAAAATTTATTTTTGTAAATTATACTTACTGTGTAATTAAAGCAGATGTACATATACATATGAGTAAAATTTCAAGAAAAACTTCACTATAGAACGCCAACTATGGCTGTACTAAGAATTATAATGTTCCAACAAGCGGCTTTACACAACTGTTTTGTGCCTGACACTGTGTCTATTTGTGCCTCATTGATGGAAAACTACCTATATTTAAAAATCATAATGTATACACAAGTGAATTTTCTCCTTTACCTACTAGCACAAACTTTTGGATTTGACTGTATGACAAAGACAGGCTACCCCGGAATCTTCTCTCTCTGTCAGCACGCTTCAGACAGTCCAGTGCCTCTTCCAGTATATATATAGTTCAGTGTTTACCGCTGAGCTAAAAAGTTTATGGTGATTAGGTTATGGCTTCTAAGCTGCTCGAACCTTCTGTTTACGTGTATTTTGATTATGAGACTGTGGATAAAAAAAAGATACAAAATGCCTTGCTGCATTGCGGTCAATTGTACCAATAGACCAGAAAAAGGCGTTCGAGTATTTATATTTCCTGCGGATAAAGTTAGTCGACAGCAATAGATACGTAATCTCCGCAGAGAATCAAAACAAATACATAACTTATGGATAAACAACACTACAATTTACTCGCAAATAATAAATTTTAATTTTTTTTTCAAATGACATACATTTAACACCTTATCTAGGAATAACTTAAATAACAAACACTCCTCACAGATCCTGCAGCAATATTATAATAGTATTCAGATGATTTTAGAATGTGAACGATAAACGGAGCTACAAAGTTCGAGCAGCTTAGGAGACATAACCTAATCATCATAAACTTCTCAGTTCAGCGACAAAAAGGTGAAAGGGCAAAAAGTGGGGGAATAAGATAAAATAGCGCAGACGAAAATACTCACATTTATAGTGCCTTATACATACTACCTCTATGTTTATAACTGTAGTGTCCATATTCTAGTGCAGCGCTCGGAATTAGTTGCACATTTCGGGCCGATTCCCAAGACGATGCCTCCTGTTCCCCTACTACCGCTCGGCTGCTGGCGACCGAGCCGCCGATAGCTCTGGCTCAAGGGAGTCGTTTT